CTACCTACATTTTAACTTGAGGACAGACAACAAGCAATTGCAGCTGAACAAATTGCGTCGAAACGATTGTGCATGGTAGATGTTCAGGCCAGCAAGATTTGTATCATAATTAGGTCACCCTTAGCCTCACTCCTGTTCAAAGGCTTGGCAACCAAGCACACGACTGCAAAATGGACTATTGTGCATTTATTAACCCTGTTTCGAAGTTTCTTTGTTTTGCGAGGATAAGATCCGATGCACAAAAAAATAAAGGACCCGCATTTTACGTCAGGTTGACTGATGGTACTTATGTGGGTTCCCTGGTACGGTTGACTGACATCATCATTGACCAAACATAGACAGTGAAATCTAATTAACGATGAAACGATGCAAGAAACCTCCATCTTTCGCCTCTCTTCTGCTATCAAATAGGCCGACATTGAGAGCCCTCAATCCCAAATTCTAAGTGATGAGGAGGGGGTCAGTTTTTCCCCATATTGAAATTTTGATTTGTTTGCGTGTCTAAGGTAAAATAAATGCAGCATTTAGGCACTAGAGTGACGTCACATGGTTCATTGTCACGCTCGACCCAAGCGCCTTGGGTGAAATAATCGAAGGCCCCGTGAAAATAAAGGTAATCCGCCATGTTGTTGAGCAAGTTTGAAAACGGTGGTGGAAATAAAAGCATTGTTCTTTTTCGGAATCGAAGTCAAGGCTAAAACTTAAAGAGTGAAGTCTTTTTGTTTTCGACGATGTTTAGAGAGAACCAAACGGTATTAAGGTGCTTGAATTTCGGGAAATTCGACCTAAGTGCTTTTCTTCTAGTTCATCAATGAATCGAATTTGTCGAATGCGTCGACCTCTCCGTCTGTTAAAACCAAAATCATTCCTCAGTTTTGAATGGTAATCGCCGCTGAGTCCTCACGTTTATCACGCACTACTTTCCAGATGGTTTGTTCCATGTCTAGATCTACATGCGCAGTGCGTTCGTCTGATATGATTATCTTACTTTTCTGCAACAACACACGACCTAACTCGAGTTGGTTTCTTTATTTTCACTTGCACTTGGTGGGTATCTGGAACAACCTCAGAAAATAAATTATGAAATATAGGGTTAAAACAGCTTGCGTCAGACCAAATGGTCAGCAACTGCATGACAGTTTTAAGTAAGTGTAAATGAAGTGAATATTTTTTCCACTGCCGGTTGTTTTCAGTTTGCGTGTACAGTTCAAACGTTTGATTGCTAGTTTGGCGCCAAGCAATATAAGCTATAAAAACAGATCTGATGAAGAGAAACCGAAAGTTCGACATTCATGCCTCACTCGCGCTCTTTTAATTACTAAGCAAAATCGCGCACTCGAACTTTACTATAATTATGATAATAATAATTCATAATGATGAAACACCAGTACGTAAAGCAAACAGGGATAAAAATAGCTATTATTAGCGTTTTCAATCCACATCAGCATAGTTTGATGGGGACAATTCGCAGAAAACCTTTTTTGACGCGAAGTTGTAGGACACAACGCTTTAATCCAGATCAACTCGTGATTGTGTACAACATTCAGATTACAAACATGTCCACCCTTCCACCATGTGTTGTCTCAAATTGATTTACGCGCAGGCGCCCAAGCTCCAGCTGTGAGATGATCATCTTGCGAAATAAGAGTGATGGCGAAATTATAAGAGTTTGTGTGGGAATATTTACGACCGCTCTTATGAATAAAAAAGAGAAGCTTCTCTTATGTAAATTTAGAAATAGTAACTCGCTAAAATGGGCTCTATTCAACATAGTAAGCGGTCAGATAGCAAGCGATAAACTGTGGAGTAAGGTGAGGTATTTTTATTGAGAATTCGACATTTTTTTAATTCTTAAGAGCGATCTTAAATATTCTCACATAGACTCATAATTTCGCCATGACTCCTATTTCGCAAGATGATCATCCCACAGCTGGAGCTTGGGCCGCCTGTGATCTACGCCTACGGTAAAAACTGAACAACTGAAAACCTACATTGACAACACATCGGGGTAAAAGGAAATTGTAAACCTCATACTTACACATTCTGTGCGATAAACGTGGGGAAAGTGACAAAAACTGTAACAAACAAACATAGCAATCGCAGTCCCCGACACGAAACTACTTCTTAGACAAAAACCATGTACTATTGAGCCACGTGACCTAATCAATATCAGTTCGTTCATTCGGCCGCTTGTCGGCCCCAACATAGTTAATTATCTATTCTACTAACTTTGATCCAGCAACGTCTCTAGAAAAGTAAATAGAACAGTGTGCATCTACTAAAAATTAAATGAAGAGTCTACCGAGGAAATAACAATTCCTTGCTAACATTTTCTTTTTTTCTGCGATGTTCATAGTCCTGTTACCCAGATTTTGAAACTAGAGCTATTTAATAATAAGAATCTAATACCTCTCCATCTTTGAAAACCAAAATTATTTCACAGTCTCTAACGATACATCTCTGAATGTGATACTTTCATCGCCTGACCAGTTTTCCGGGGGAAGTACGTCATTCCACTTTGTATCCAGGCTCAGAGTCAAGCTTAGTGTGGGTGATAACTCTTTCAACTGACTTCATGTACTTCTCCACATCAGACAGCGACACTTTTCTGACGGAGTACTGAAGTATGGTCGCAGACTGAATGACATAAACAAGTGACAGTCGAGCAAAAACTGAAAAGAAAACATTTGAAACAATATTTCCTATTGATTAGGAAGATGCTGAAGACCAGAAGTACAAAAACCGCCAAAGATATAACTTTTAATCATTATGGAAGGTTGCTGTTTTAGAATTGTGATCGGTTATCAGCTGATTTACTTTGCACTTTCAAGGCAGCTTATTCGTCGTTCCTGTGTTATTGGACGAGTCCTTTGCATGCAATGTTGGATGCACTGACTTGACATCCATAAGCTGAATGGAAATCAAACCCGTTTATTTGAGCACAGTCAAAGCAGTTGGGCTGAAATTACAAAAACATTGATGCGGAAGTAAACTGAATTCTTTGTCGGTTGTTGTACGGATCTAGAAAGAGTGTTTTAGAGTTGAAGGATTTTAAAGGATCAAGTCTCGTGAGCCTAGTGTCTCATAAGCGCGAACGAAGGCAGGACGAAGGCTTCGTCGTGGTGGTGCTAGTCTCTCGCGACACTGTGACCGTGCATTCAGAGTAAGAGCCGAATGAGGACAAGTCATTCAAAGGAGTACGTTCTCGTGGCATGAATGATTTAACCGCGGCATGTCTGACATTTCCCTGTGGATATTTCCTAGGAGTATCACCGCATTTCGCTATCTTTCTAAGTTTAGTCCATACATTGAAAAATAAATATTGCCTCCGAATCTCTTCCTGTCAAACGGTTTTACTGAAAGACGAATTTTCACAAGAATTTGAATATTTTTTTACAGAAAAACAGCCCAAGGGGCACTGCTAAGATTTTCTGGTGGGGTGGAGGAGAGAGATCGCAGTTTATAGAGTTTCTGCGCATCCTCCATGGATTTTTTTACATCGCTGCTCTAAATGACTCGCCCCTCTATCCCCTCTGTCTCCCGCCCCCCTCCCCCCTCCCCCCATGGTCCCACCACCTATGAGGAAAATAAGCTTTCAAAGGGTTCTCAAACTTCATTTTAATGTCATGGCTCTTCTTTCAAATCTTTATTGTTGTTGCCACTTTCTCTTTAACGTATGCAGTTAGACAGCATTTCATTATGGTATTAGTGCAAGTTTTGATCAAAGGATTTGACTTACTTAGTGGCAGTATTTCCCTAATCGAACTCGTGATCAAAAGTATTTTGCGGAACCAGTTCTTTGTCTGACTAAACTATTGCACTAATAAAACTAATTACAAAAAATTGAATCGATGATTGTACCGCGCGGAAGCGATTATTTTGTTATTTATACAAAGCCTTAATACCTTGCGCTCTCAGGAAGTTAACAAAAATAACAGGAATAGGATGTCAGCGTTGTGTTTGATAAGCCTTTTGTGATCGTCTCAAAAGAAAACAGTTAATCTTTTCAAATTAAATGTCACGAGTCGGGTTTAGCACCAAATATGATGCTGGTTAAAATCGAATTTAACCGCAATTAACCTCATACGTGATCCTTTTCTGAGGAAATAAAAACATTTTGAAATAAATCTTAGAATATGTAGTGAGATAAAATTCAAGTACTGAAGCCTCATGGTATCCTCAATATGAACGTATCCACCGTCATGATATGTTTTGTTCTTCCCTCCCCTTTCATAGAACTTCGCTCACGCTTGAGAAGATTGCCCTCAGACAGCGAAGTAGGTCAGCTGGGTTAGACCATATTTCAAAGGATACCGATATCACTTAGTCCTTCCTGAATAAGTCAAAATTCCGATAAACTATCTGCAGGAAATCTATTTTCGGTAAAAGTCAGTTTCCTCTGGAAATTTCTAACGAGTTCCTTTCCTCAAATTTTCGCTTGTAATGAGTGTAAGTGGTGCTTGACTTTTTTCAGCAACAACGAACAGCAAAAACAAACTTACGTATTGTTCTTGGTCTCCCTAAAATCCTTCATTCAACCAAGCAGAAAAATTACAGTTGCCATTTCCCAATCATTGCAAATATTATAGTTGGGCGAGAAACCTGCTTACAGTCGACAGCAGTAATATCATTTTTAGCCGTTTCCTGTAAATGTCTAATCCTATCTTCTTCTAAAACGTGCAATTATGTAGCCACTAAAACTAAACTCATAGATAAACAACCTCGTGCTCGTTCAAGATGAGTGATCAATTTTGTTCACATCAGTTCGAGATTGACAGCACAGTAAGTGGAATTAGGAAAAAAAAATAAGTTAGTCAGTCTGAGAGAACGGTTAATTCCTCGAAGCTATTACATCCATGTTTTCTAACATATGCAATTCGTTTTATCATTTGCGGTATGAGTTAATTGTGGGCCTTTATTGAGTGCTCAAGGTATTTCGCAAGTTCTACGTGAGGACGCGCATGAGTGGGTTATACGTCAATGACAGGATTACCTGACACTTCCGACAACGGTTCACTTCAGAATTTGTTTATGATCACGTAACGTCAATGCGAACAAATTTTGGCCATAAAATTTTTCCAAGAAGGAAAGAACACAAGGACAATACATTTCTGTTAACTATTAGCCTCAAGTCATGTCTGAGACAAGTCCGAGTCGACGATCGAGACTTCTACAGGTTCTTCGGAAGCCAAAATTCTTAAAAGGACTTCACATCTTGGCAATAGTTCTCGGTTTTCTATGCATTGGCGGCTGTTTTGTGCTTGCAAGTCTCACGTACATTTTATTTGGAGACTGTAATGGCTGTGAGATGGGATCAGACGATAAAGCTATGGTAAAAGTGTTGAGGATTCTGGCTACCGCTTCTTTCCTATTAGGAATTCTCTCAATTGCTTTGTCACTGTGCTGTAAAGGAACATCTAGTAACAGTCTTACTCCTCAAGTTGTGGTTTCGCAGATACCCGAAGCAGATTTAGAGAAATCGCCCGCTCCTGTGATAGCTTATAATCACATTCCTCATCGGCAAGCGTTTGATGCCGAAGATTCGGCGATGAGTTACAATTTGACTGAATTTGTAGCAAATGCGGATAATATAGACGAACAAGGTGCGTATAATTCAGCAAATGCGGGATTTTGGACGGAAGAAATTGATGGACCTGTTACACCGCCGCCAACTTACGAGGAAGCTCTTGTTATGAAATGGCCGGTTGTAACTGTTAAGGAAAACAGTTCACAGAACTCAGAGGAAACGGTCTCTTTCAACACGGGATTGTAGAGGAAAAAAATATTCAAATTTACAGACATGAGAGAACAAAAGCTCGCAAACCAAAGCTCATTAATCTCAACACATTGACAGTTTGATAAAGGTTACTCACGATGGTTTCACGCGATAAATATAATTGTTCCCTTTGTCATCTATTTTTTTGTGTTCTTTGTAAATATTATAACTCTATTTAATTATCATCTAACAGTCGATGTTAAAATACCGCGTGAATTTCTTGTACAGTTTGAAAATGTAATTATTTTTGTTAAGGTCGCAATTTGCTTCGTTCACACACATACAAAAATGTATATATACATATTACCTCACACTATTGCGTGGCTAATATCATGCTTTTGATATTGTGTATACATACTTAGTATGAATCGCGAAAATTGTTCAACAAAGAAATAAATGTTTTATAATAATTCGACATTTCTTGGTTTATTTCATCACAGACAGAGCTCACGAAACTGCTATTCAAAACAAGACAGCTTTCATATAATTTTTCAGAAATCAATAGAGCATTACCAGATAAGTAGAAACTGAAACTGAAAGAGCTCTTCAGATAAAAAAATCAACAGAGCAGCAGAGACTAGATAAAGTACAAAGTACATTATTTTCATTTGGGAGTGGAAACCACAACATCACTGAGTGAAACAAATACAATTCCTTTTACCATCAATTAGAACCTTTTCAGTTGTAATGCAAACAATCCTCACCATTACACCTTACCTAAATTGGACATTTACGTATCCATATAAGAAATATTGGTCTTAATAGCAAGCCAGTATGTTGGACCACAAATAAGTTACGAACAATAAAATATAAATGATGAATTGAACTGTCCACCACATCTTAAACACCAATTAATAGACAGACTACACAAGACACTAGAATGTCTGATGAACAGTTAATGAAGGAACACTTTTTGTAAAATCCAGATGTGTCAAATTTTAGGATTACTTTGAATTTATTAAACCCTTATGCTCTAACAGGGAGAATTGGTTCAACAATCAAGAGCTTGTTTAGTTGGTGGTCAATTTCTTTATTCTCATGATCTAAGTATGTAATTTACAGGAGACAAATTAAGGAGAAATTAGAAGCTAATCACTATTAGGGGTTGCAGGGTTAAAGTTTAAAAACCATTGCCTGGAAAAAAAGAGTACTGTTTCTCATATCATAACTCAAAAACAACATGGGAGCAAAAACAGAAAATATCAGACCTATGCATTGTGATTTTCAAGCCACTGGCAAAATATGCAGAAAAAAAGATGAAATCATCAGTTTCCAAGGAAACCTTTGAA